GATAATGCCATGGGGGAGGCTGTGCAGCCTCTCTGGGTAAAGTGCCCCTTGGATAAGTTCTTCCCCATGTTCAGGTGGAGCTCCCTGGGCATCAGTTCGTGCCCGTTGTGCCATGTCCTGGCAGCACGCAGCAGAGCCTGGTGCATCTTTTGGCAGCCCCATTTCGATATTTACACCGTTCCCTTATCCCTGCTGGGGCTCCCATCCATTCCAGGGCTGATCCCGGTGTGGTCCCGGTGTGGACTCAGCGGTCCCTGTGGAGATCCCGGGAGTCCGTGCCCAGCCCAGGGCACCTCCGGTCAGCCCGGGCCAAAGTCCGGGCACAGAGCGTCCCCCAGCTCAGGAACACTCGCCTTGGCTCCCCTGCCACAGCTTCCACCCCTTGGCAGAGCATTCCCCAGATCTGCACAGAGCAAATTCCAGAGCGAGGATCTCGGAGCCTTTTGGAAAAGATAGGACAAGAATTGTGAAAGCTGACTTTAATATTTAATGCAAGCGTTAATGCTCTCACTAGTCCCACAGACAGCCTCTCTGCCAAAGCAGAGACCAACTCCAAACCCATTTTTTTCCATCCATGCCCGGATCCATATTGTGCAGTTCAAGAGGATGAAGTAGGTGGCTTCTCTGTTACTACATGCACAGATTTGCAGAAGGACTGTGAGATTATTCAGAATTAAGATGCTACAGTGACAGTGAAAGCTATTTTTAAGAGATGTTTGGAAAGTGTATGCATCTTACTAATCCTCTCATATTACACATTAATTTTCTAGGCAATGCCTTGCATGTAAAATGGAAAATTTCAAATTACTATATGCAGAATTTTTACTGCAGCGTTCGAGTGAAAACACAAACCAGTGTAAAGCACCTAAAGTAAAAAAAAGCCCTGAATGTCTCAGCTAACCTGACATTCACATTAAAATATGATATGTTCATGCAACAGCAGCACGTTGATCACAACTATGCAACACGATGATGTTTCAAAGGCCCTGCAAATTATTTCAGGACTCCTGAACAAGACGAGCGACAACCTTCTGCAAATGTCTTGATAGAGTAGGAGGAAAGAAGGACACTCTATAAATAAACTTATATGATAAGTTAAAAAAAAGAAGTGAGGCTAGATATATTCACCAAGAGAAACTTTGAAGATTTACTCACACTGAGCCTATTTTTGTATGCCAGTGTAGGCAAGCAAGATTCTTCTTTTCATCTAAATAGAAGCGGAGTATTTTTAAACGCAGGAGATTCATTCCCTCAGTGCTCGTGGCAGCACGGCAGCTGGGGCCGGAGCCGGGATGCGGGGGGAGGGCTCCGGGGGAAGCAAACCCCTTTCCAAGGGGAACAGATGGTTTTCCCCGGGCTGGCTGCAGCCCAGGAGCATTCCTGGGTGCCCAGGGCCAGCCCCGGCCCCTCGGGAGCCCCTGGGCACCCCCATGGCCCTGGGAGAGGCTCTCGAGTCACTCCTCCCCACCGGGAAATGTGAAGGGCATCGGGGAAAGCAGGATTCTGCACCAAGCACATGAGAGCTGGTTTGGGTTTGTCACTAAGAGGGAAGAGAATCACTTGGTAAAAGGGATTTGGTAGATTTGGATATGCAGGACAATGGTTCCTGCAAGTCTGGATTGATTTCAGGATAATTTTCCCATTTCTCTTCCCTCAAACTGCACAGCTCAGTGTCTGGAAGAGAGGATTAGTGTCTAACGCTGGGGTTGGTGTGGCTGCACCTCCAGCTTTGAGGACCTCGGCTCACTTCTCTACACAAAGCATTTTGGGATCTGGTTCATCAGCCCTGACACATCCATCACAACAAATCCTTCTGCAGGATCCCTGCAGAACATCCAGCAAACCTAAACCCAGGATAAGGAGCTGATAAAACATCCACCAAAGAGGGAAGAAAGCTAACACATCAATTGGGGAATTCTGAACTCCAGCTCCTCCCTTGCAGCTTTCCCAATTCCATGGACAGAGCAGCAATGCACAATGGAGAGCAATCACACCCATGGCTGGTGAGTTCTGCACCCGAGACACCGCCTGCCCTTTGTACTCTTTGGGAAATAAAACAGAGAGGAGGCAGATTAAAAAAGCATTGAGGGAAAAATGCTGTTGAAAATGTGCTTTGTTTTGTAGATAGGTTCTTATAGAGTTCTCATCTCTGCAACTTCCAGAAGTGCATTAAGCTGCATAATTAGCATCTGTCACATGAAGCTTTTCCCTTCCCTCTTCCTCTCCCTAGAGGGAACCTGCATAAAGAAATTTTAATATAAATTTTAGTATCTACTCTGCACAGTGCAATCATATTAGGAAAGCTACAGGCAAGTCAGTTTGTGCTCAGTCTAAGGCTTATCTTTGCGTAATAGAAACTTTACCAATTTTTGTTTTTTTTTGAATGTTGCTGATCCAATTTAAAAATTAACCAGTCTCTTGGAAAGACACCAGGGGTGGGGGAGAGATGGTCCCCATTGCATCAGATTTAAACCAGTGGAATTGCCAGGAATTAAATTGTCAGGTATTAAATCCCTACAATCTCACATGGAAACATCCAGCCAAAAGGAGTAAGGGCTGGGTGATTTCCTCTTCTAGTCAAAGCATTTATTTTGAAAGGAATATTTATATTTTTAAAACATCTAAACAAAGCAGGAGTTCACGTTGCCTTGTCCTTCACATCAAGAGATTCTCCACTGCTGAATGTAAAAGTCAATGGATTACAGCATCTCCTGGTGAATCTCTGCAGGCAAAAGAAGATGCTGCTTTTTAGAAATAAAGATGAAATAGAAATAAGTGCAGCTTAACAATAGCAACATGACAAACAACTCTATTATTCAGCCTCTGATTTCCATTCAGACTCCTCATTTTTTGAAGTGTTTCTTTTCTACTTAATTATTCCAAGAAAATTGAGATTATAGGATTGAACATACTGCCAACAACCTGAGGTATGGAGTGCAGAGTGAGTGCTTAAACTTCAGCTGCAGAGGTGGTAATTATTGTAATTGGTGCATGTGAAGCAAATATATCAAGTAGTGCAGAGTTCAAACTCGTGCCAGTCAGTCTCCAGTTGGCACCAACATTTCTGTCAGGAGGATACCGAGGTCTCAGCAGGACTTATTACTGGCAACTCTTCAACACTTCTCTTCTCCAAATGGTTTCAAGGGGATTTGGGTGGGAAGAAAGATAATTTTTAACAAATTAAACTACCTACAAATGGCGAGCTGCCCAGAGCCACCTAGTCTGCCTTAGTCACTACTACCAAACCATTTTAAAAAAGAAGATTAAAAATATCACTGCTGGCAAAATTGCCTACCTGGCTTTAACAACTTCATCAGATCCCTGCAAAATTACCCAAACATGTGTGGTACACTGTGCTACATGTGAGTGTAAAATATGTCCAGAGTAAAAGGTAGAGCAGAATCTTCACTCAGCATGTCTTGAGTTACCAGAATCCAAATATCCCTATAAGGATATATACTACAATTAAAAAAAAAAATTAAAATCAGTTTTAATTGAAATTTAGAAGGATTAGGAGGAATGGTGATTTCCCATTAGTATTTATCTCCCAGCATTTGGGAGGTGCAAACCAGAGCTCAGCTCTGCACTCTGAGCTCTCCCAGGAGCCTCTGCCCTGTGCCAGATTGATGTCCAGCTGCTTTGTTTAGACCTTGCTAAAATGCCTTTTTCCAATGGTGGATTTGTCATTTCTAGCAGAGGTCTCCAAGAGAAGATTTGAGTTTAATGCACAGCAATAAAAAGAGGAATATGAGAATTCTTGCTCTCTTTAGTGTCAGCTTTGGTTAAGACATATGAATGCACATGAATAGTCTTGTCAGAATCTCTGGGGCTACTGACATTCAAGATCTAACATACTATTACTTCTGACCAGAACATTAGCTGCTGTGCAGGAAGGAGAAGGGAAAGAGGAGAAAGGGATAAAGACAGGACCACTCCCTAATCAGACAGAAATTGTTATGGATTTCTCTGGCTGGAAATCTCTGGACAGAACTTTTCTGCTGTGAAAATACAATGCTCACCTTCTCCATTTTGATTGTAGAGCCTCTTTAAAATCTGCAGCAGGAAAAACAAAAAAAGCATCTTTTAATGCCTGATCTTGCTCATTTTACTCATGGAAAGGATCCTAATTAACCTATAAATAAGGATTGTACAACCAAGTATTACATCCTTGTAAAGGACATGTGCTAAGGATGGTTTGAGCATTTTAAGCTGCTGACTCTATTTTTTACCATTCCTTTGAATCACTATTTTCAGATATAAATAAGCTAATTAATTTAGTTAAAATAAGGTAATTTTCATTCCAATCTCAGCATATATCAAATCTGGACACCATTTACAACGGAAAGATTTGTTCACCAGAGGCAAAAACCTTCCAATGTCCTCCTGGCTGAATAAAAACGTATTTCAGATATTTTTAGTTGTTATTGTTCGTAATTCATTTCTAAAGAAATTGAAAATATCCAGCTATTGGTTTAATCAGTATTTTTGTGCTCTGAAATTTGAGCTGAGGGAGGACAACCAAAGGCAACACCCTGCCCTTTGTGACTGAAACCACCTTGAGAATCCATTCAGGAGCTCCAGCACATCAGACAAAGGCCTGGATTTGTTTGGAGCAATAAATGATAGAGACCTTTACATATTTGAAGTGCAACAGATGGTCCTGCAAGGAGAACAGAATGACTGGCAGACAGCACTTCGTTAGAGGGGCTTGGAATGTCTTCAGCAATTACACAGGCAGTGTTTTGGGGGGAAGCCCTGTCATCTCTGGGATTCTTCCCATGGAAATTGTTGTGATTTCCTCGTTGAGATGCTAAAAAATGGTATCTGCTAAAATCCAGGCAGGGAACTGGAAAAGGGAGAACCTTTGGGCCTCCCAAGGCTGCTCAAGATGAGGCTCCACCTGAGAAGAGAGATGGGAGTAGAAAAAGAATTAAATCAGCACGAAGGCAAAAGAACTTTGGGCACATAACTGTGAAACTGTTAATCCATGGCCAAGTATTCCATGGAAGTGTAATCCAGGAAAAAAGCCAAGGTTTAGCACAAGGTCCAGCAGGCTTTTAGAAATTGGGATGTCTATAGGTACAACAGCAGAATATCAAGGGGAAAACACCCAAAATACCTGAATTATGAATAGGAACCTCCTTTCTTTGGGAAACTGGTGATTTGTGAGGAGCCCTGCTCCACATGAAACACTGTGGCTGCAGTTCTTCAGGGCAGGGGAAAGGGAGTTTTTTGAGGCTGTCCATTCTTTCCATTTTCCCAGACAAGCTATTTCACAAGCCAGCAATTAATACCTACAATTTCAAAGCAAGAGCAATAAAATGCTGATTTTCTACTGTAGATGTAGCTTCGAACAATTTAACTCCCATCTCCCCCATCCCCTGTCATTCCAGGATTAATCTGTTCTGTTCCAAAACCTTCCCCACCAAATCCACTTGGAGTAAAATTTTCTGTGGCAACACAGGCCCAACAAAAAACGTGTCCTTTCCCAATGTAACTTAAATGTTGATGGAATCATAACTGCATTACTCCCTCTCCAATTAGCAGCAGCATTCTTTATGTTTGCTTACGAAGCGTGAACCGTTCTCTTGTCACTACAAAGACCTTCTGTGGAGGACCTAAAAATGCAGCCCCAGCAATTAAAATGACAACAACAGAGGTGGATTGGTCACATCATGACACAAAATATCCAGCTGTTTCTTCCCAGCACAAGGACATGAAATATTATGAGGAAATTTTGACAGGCCACGTAACGCTGCTGGATATTCGGGGGGAAATCTGGATTTCCAAGAAGGGAGGAGACTGATGTGGAACTATGTCTAAGCTCACAGATTGATTTTTTCCACTTGATCAGGATTGTCATTCATGCTTTTTATCTGTACAAATTTCCCTTTTTTCTTTGCTGGAACTTTATTTTGTGAGAAATTGTCTAAAGCTAAGAAAAATTTGAGGTGGAGTATCCTCAAAAATAAGGCAAAAAGTGATCTGATAGGGTTAGATTTAGAAAATCAGATTTTAAACTTACTTAATTTGGTTGTGTTAAAAACATTCTAAGAGTTTATTAAGACCATAAGTCTCATTATAACAAACAGAACATCTTTTATAATCACATCTGTCTGTTGCTGGTTCCTGCCTATTCTGCTTCCCAATCAGATGGGAAGTTATTTGTAATGCATGTGGGGAATTTTAAAAATAATTTAGAATATATATTTAAAAAATAAGAAAGGCTGAAAATTAAGTGTTTCAGGTTAGTTTTTCCTAGTTAGGATTATAGGAGATAGATATATAGAGATAAATATAGATATATTTATCCTTCCCAGTTAGCATTATAGGAGGTAGATGTAGAGATATAAATATAGATATATTTATCCTGAAGTGATATTTAGCTTTGATTTCTAATACAGCAGGAGAAAATAACTGACACACACAGACCCAGCCACTCAAGGGGGGAAAAACACCCAAACACTGTCTATAGAATCCACCTACAGAAATGTCCTTGGAGAAAAACTGATGAGAAAATTATCAGGCAGATTTTTCCTTGCTCTTTCCTTCCTGGAAGTTTTTGCCTCTCCTAACAGCACAGCCATGGCAAGTGATATGTATCAGAATTCATCCATGCAGTTTATTTTGCACATCAAATTGATTATCCATGACTTCTTAGGCAAACACAGGAATGCAGAAAACATGTCAGCTGTTACAGAGGATATATGGGCATTGCTCTCCTTACTTCACATTTAGAAAGAGCAGCAGATAATGAGCTCAACCATTACCTTGAGAATAAATTTCATTTCCAAGTTCAGGAGTATCTCTGGATTCTCATCTGTTTTGTGAACCAGAACTTACAGGTAGCTCATAACATTTGTCTTCTGAGCTGTGTTTGTCTCCAGAGAAATTGTCATCAGTGGGCAAAGGCTTTGATGTCCTCATCCTCATGCCCTCAACCATGATGCCCTTACAGACTCAAAGCAATCCCTGCAAAATACAGAAGGCAAGGAAAAAATTTAAGAAATAAAAGCCCTGTCTTTTTCCTTCCTTAAATTCCCAGAATTCATCTTCAGATTCATGCCTGTAGCAAAAAAAAAAAAAAAAAAAAAAAAAAAAAAAAAAAAAAATCAGACTAAAATATTACCCTTCTGTATGTTTCATCTGAAGTAATTGCTTGGCAACAAACATCTCTTGCTCTGCGAGTATTCTGCAGTGAATTTATCCACATCAGGAAAAACACAGCAGAAAGGTGTCTGGTTTGAAAGTTTCCAAATCAGACACCAGGCACAAAAAACCAGAGTGACAGAACAGGCAAGACACAACCTGGGACCATTCTGGGGACACACAGCCCATATTTTCCATCTTTTCATCAGCAACCACAAGAAATATAAGACAAACAAAAGTTTTGAGATCAGCAGGTTTTGACAAACCAGTAATTAATCCTGAGCTGTAATAATAATAATGTGTGTTTGAGCAATATGGCGTCAATATAATTATTCTTTGCAGATGTTTGCTATTCATTACAATGGAAACTGTTCCATTCTGCACTGTGGTAACACAGTGGGATCAGACCCCATTTTTATGAAGACACCAAGCACAAGATGTTCAGTCTCAGAAGGTGAATTCCAAGACACTGGGCTGATAAAGCCATTTGAGATTCTGTAAAACATATATCATACAATAATTACATTTCATTATGTGGTTTACAAAAATCTATTCACTGAACTACAGAAGCTTGTCAGGCATTCTTTATTCCCAAAGAATAACATTCATCCATGAAAACAGTCTGATTTAAATAACTCTGAGTGCTGGCAAATGAAAATTACTGGATAAAGCAAATAGTGTCTTATTGAAAATCAAAGCTACAAGTCTGAGTCACTCTTACTACTGAGGTACTCACACCTGACCAGCTTTAGGTACTGGAAATGCTCTCTGTTCTCAGACACATTGGCCTTGCTGTTGGCAGAATTCTTGCAGGATTTTGCAGTGAAATCAAAACAAGTCAAAGTCTGGAAGGCTCCAAAACTTGGCCCCTGAATGAGTGCAAAATGCAAGTAAAACATGAAGCTGCAATCACAACACACGAGTGGAGATGGGGCTGCAGCTGGCAGTTCAATCAAACCCCTTGGTGTGAAGTGAGGGACCACTACTCAGTTCTGTATTTGGCATCAGACACCAGAACCTGTGGAGCAGAACACCAAGGAGAAGGCAAAACTTGTGCTGGGAAGATCTGAAAGATTCAGGGAGGAAATTGGTGGGAAGTGCCCTTCCTCTCCTGCAGACCCTGCACAGCAACGGCAGGGAACTGTGGGATCTCAGGATCTGAGTCCTGAGGTGCCGAGCACCGAGAGCACCCTTGGGGGGCTCGGGAGTCCTGGAATGTTCCAGAAGTGTCTGGTGGCTGCACTTTGATCCTACACAGGAGACGACACCTGTATGAGGACAGGAGGGTTTCACCGGGGTGAATGGTGAAGGGATTGGTTAATTAGAGAGTGAAACACAGGGTTTAGGATTTCTGTACAGGGGGGTTTAGAGAAGTAAGATGGAGGAATTGGGGCGTGTCCTGTCCTTCTTCTTCTTCTTCTTCTCCTCCATCTTCTTTGGTGATGGTGGCACTTTTGGATTGGTTATTACTGAAAGTGCACCGGGTAATAAGAATAAATGGTATTGGGGAAAAATGATAAATATTGTACACGTAACTTTGGGTATAAAGATAGGTGACCGCCCGGAGGGCAGCACAGTGTGCTCATGGCTGGCTGCTGAGCAGAGCTCTGTCGGGCTGAGAGAAAATCTTTTAGATAAACAATTAATAAACATAAAAACCGAAAGAAGAACTGAAGCCTCTTCTCGTCCTTCGATACGCGGCTGCCCCAAGGCCACCCCGGGCCTTTCCAGGCCCCTCAAACAGCCCAAAACCCGACAGGAACAAACCAAAGGCAGGAGAACACAGCACATGGATCCTAAAGCCACAAGGGAGAATCAACCCCCCTCCTGCCAGGTAGAGCAGAGCCCGTGCCAACAGGAATCACACACTCCCACTGTTGCTCAACAGATGTACTTGAGCTGGAGATAAGGCACTTCAGAACTGCAGGGAAGTTATGTGCACAAGGTGTTGCCTCCTGTGCCTCTCTCCGCGCAGGGAGGGAACAGCAGGCAGGATTCAGACACCCCATTCTGCAGTAAGGGAGGGAAAATGAGCACAAGAATTCTTGTCAATACAAATGATCCAGAGCAGAAGGTGGGGACAACCTTATAAAGCAAAAGCACAGAGTCAATAATACATTTGTAAATCAGAATACAGCAAGTACACTTACCACTGGAGAAAGCTGAGAGTAAATCTCTCCTGAAGAAGGCTTTAAGCCCATTTTCCCATTTCAAACCTGTATCACCAGTGAAGTGCCATCAATGAATATTCTCTTGCAGATAAAGTGGTTGTCTTCACCTTTTGGCAGCTGCAGTAAAAACAAAACAAATCCTGCAAGGAGGTTTTACTCCTGAGAGTAATCTCCTCAAAGAGTGAGGAGAAAGCAAGAGCTAAAATCACTTGCACAATCATGTTTCATAACTGCTCCTAGGCTGGTGCTATTGCTCTTTCCTGAGTACAAAAAATGCAGAAACTTTTCTCCCTCTTCTACTAAAGGGGAAAAAAAAAAAATCTGCTTATCTTTGGATACACAGAGACTTTGGAGGAGCTCCAAACAATGGAGCACTGTGTGCCCCACTCATCACACAGACACTGAAGAAAGAGTGTGGCAAAGAATGCACAAAGTATGTAATTACTGTTTCACAAGATAATTCCATTATTAATACATCCCCAAAGATAGCATGCACAGCGCTGCAGTTTAATTAGATGGTAACTGGAGGGGGTTTGAATTTATGAGGTAATAAATATATTTTGGACTAATAAACTCCAAGGCTGAAGTGTTTATTAATCTAGAATATAAAGATTACATAGTTGATAGGAGACAACCTCAGGTTGTGCTGAGATGCCTGTTGTTTATACACTTCAAAAATTAATATTTTCCTCTTTTGGGAGCAAGATTAGAAAGCCAAGATTGCTTTGGATGGTGCTGAAAAATACCAGAAACTGCCCAACAGTTCTGTGTTCTCACAGGCAAAGGCTATTTAAGTCTCAGCAGATGGTGTGGTTTTTAAGGTTTCACCTTTTAATCAATTTATCACCTCCTAAACTATTCAGTACTGCAAATAAACTCCCTTCTGACACAGTGCCTCATTCTGAGGGTAAAAACCACAGATTCCCTTGTAGGATAACCAGAGCCTTTACAAGGCTATCAGACCTCACCTCTGTTCCCCCCAGATACCATCTGGGAGGGAAATGAAATTCCATCTTCATTTTCCTGCTCTTGCATTCACCTGCAAGACCTCATGGACAATTTTGGTTGAATTTTTTTCTCTCCTGAACATGGTTGTAGAAACTTTTTGCCCAGTGCAGCACATGAAGGATTTGGGAACCAACTGCTGTGAGGATTTATATCCCAACCAGCTGTGCCAGGAAGTCAGAGGAATCAAATGGGCTCATCTATTAACTTGTCCTCAGGTAGTTCCAACCAGAGCTTTATAAATTAGCCCACAGCTCAGTCCATTTAAACCACATTTCTCTGCTCTTTTGGAAGTGCCAATGCCTCACTCAGGCAAGACAGAAGACCAGGAAGAAAACATGATTGAAGTCAAAGAGCAGTTTTGCTTAAGCCAAAGCTAAATTGAGGGCTGAGGGAATTGCAGAGAAGAAAAAGAAAGAAACACGAGGAGGAACAACCTGTGGGATCCTGCAGGTGAATCAAGACTGAGGAGTGCAAAGGAGCTGCTCCCATTCCTGGCTGAGTGATGGATGAAGGGAACTGTGGGGCAGGAAAAGAGGAGAGAGGTGAGACAAACCACAGCTTGGATTTATTTGATTTATTGGGGGAGTTCCCTGCTGCTCCTCTGAGCCAGCCTGTGGTGCCAGCAGGAAGAAAGCATCATTACCAAGGGCTGTAGAGATGTAAAGATATTTAAGAAAATGTTTATTAAGGAGTTTAGGTGATCCAAATAGAATTGGCTGTGTGTAGATACCGATTCCAGGGTGTTCCACAGGTTCAGGGCAAAGACCTCAACACTAATTCTTGAGAAGATCCTACAGATAAATCATGGAAGATGACAAAGAACCATTTCCAGAGCTCCTGCTCCTTCCCTCCCAGGCTCACATCCTCTCACCAACCCAAGCAAGTCACAGAACCAAGTTTCCAATATTAAATCTCCAGGCAGTGTGTTATTCATACAGCTTATGGAGATGTCTTTACCCTCTGGAAAAACAAAGTTTAAGAAAAATGGCTCCATCTTTGGGGAGCAGTTTAAGTCTCAGGATAACTACATTAGGAAATCTAACTCTATTACTTTCTATCTTACATTTTATTACAAGATTGGTAATAGGAAATTACCAAATAAAATTGGTATTTTACTTGGTATTTTTTTTCCATGGGCCTCGTCTAATATGAAAGATGGTGATCATCAAATTTATTCAAGTTTTCCTGTCAACAACATCATTAACCAAATCCCTCAATTTCAAAGTAAATAAAAGCATCTGGGCTTCTTGCACAGCAAGACTGACTTGCATATTTAAGCCTCATATATAGATGAATCTGCACTGGACCAAATTTGCATATTAATGAAGGACTAATTGCTCTTTGCAGTCAATTTTATGCAGATGAATTTACTCCACTCACTACAATTTTCATAATGTTCGGAAAGAACCAAAAAATGTAAAACTTTGTAAAAAAGTACACAAATGTTAGACAATCAAGGAAGAAATATCCTAATGGCTTCCAACAGCTTTACATTAAATTGTATATAATTCATCTTTTATACTGTTGCTTTATTTTAACAGCCTCCCACAAAGAACAGAACAATCCATGGAATAACTTCAGCCTATTCCCCCTCCTCGGTCTCACATTTTAACAGCTTGTAATAACCCATTCTATGATCCAGTTTCCAGCTGGAAGGATGGAGCCTGAATTTTTAGGAGAAGTTAAATTTGCTAAACAGGAATTTATTTGCTCCCAGACATCCTCATGCCACAGGACAGTTAGGACAGAGTTTGTCCCACACATTTTTAAGGTGGTTTCCTATCCAGTTTTGTATTATTAAGGAAAAAACGTCCAAATCTTTGTTGAGCCTCCCCTGAGGTAAAGTACAAAATATCAAAAGAAGGTGAGGAAAATTCATGGGAATGAAAAACATCAGAAAACGCTGAGGAGAAAATGATAATAAAGGGGAAAAGATATGGAAGTAGAAGAGGAAGGGAAGTGGAAAGGGAGGGAGAGAAAAATGATGCTTCAATGTGTTTATTCAGGTCTGGCTGAAAAGAAAAGAAGGATTCAGGAGAAAGTTCAAGGCAAAGTAAACAAATAAAAGAAAAAAATGCAGCCACAAGTGTAGGCACAAAAAAGAAAAAGAACAGGAAAGATAATGAAACAAGAAATAAGTGAGAATCAGAGAGCACAGGATACATAAAGAAACAAATAAAAGGAAATACAAACCCCACAGTTTTTCCTCATTCTGCCAGAACAGAAGGGCAGAGTTAGTGGGAATGCTTCAGGAATCTGAATTTGCATGTATAGCCTTCCTCCTGCCAAAGAAAAAAGCCTTATTTTAACTGTGAAGACTGATAACCATAATATTTATATGTATCATAAAATCACTTACAGAAGACCATTTTAATCAGAAAAGGAATTGCATAAAGGAAAGTTACAGCTTTGAATGACTTGGAGCCTTTTGTAGAAGGAACATGGGAACACAGCTCACCTTCCCCACATCTGCCTTCTCTCTGATTGCATTTTTTGTCCTTCTCTACAGTTTTTGCTGTTTTAACATCTCCTTTTTGAGGCAGAGAGAATTCACACAGATATATGATGGGTTTATAGTGGTACTAAGAAATCTTTTGTGGTTTTACTCTATTTGTTCTCTAATTTCCTACTATCCCTCTTCCTGGGCCTTACAGATCTCCTATGATCCCACAGTTTGGCTCCAGAGAAGCAACAGTTCATAAATAAATTTTCATGATCAAAATAAAATAATCCTCAGAATGAACATCTTTGGACTGAGCTGTTGAGTTCTTCCAAAGAGGAACCAGAAAATCAGCCAGGAAGTCACTTTGGCCTCTCTCCTTCTGCTCTTTCCCACCTTGATGACTGAAGAATTTTTCTGGGATTTAATCACTCCTCCATGAGCAATAAAAACAAAAGTTTTATGGAGGTAAGATCCCATTGCATGGAGAAAAAGGGAAGAAAAGGCTTCAGGGCAGAGGAGTTGGCAGAAAATATCAAACCAAGGGGAAGGACAGGGAAAATGCCAAGAGGCTTTCACTAGCACTCAAAAAAGAACAGGCCACAGAACAAAGACAAACAGAGTTACAAAATAATAACAGGAATAATTGGAAAAGAATGACAAATACTCCAGCAGGAAAATACTGGAATGCTGCTGCTGAAGAATTGTCAGTGAGGAAGCAGGACTCAGCTCAGCTGGGCAGCCTGGAGGTTTGGCTCTTCAAAGTTATTTGACAACAAATTACAGCTCTTTGTGAATCCTTGGAATTCTGGATTATTCATCCAAACTGTTTCCCTGTTTTGCTCATAGAGGAGAAGGAAGGGAAATGTTTCCCCTTTATAATTTCTGTACATTTGGAAACCTGCTCTGGGCACTGCCCCTCTTTCCCCAGAGATGTCTGGTTCAAGGCAGCAATGCTGTGTGAATGTAAACAAAGTTAATTATTCCAACAAGAACAAGATGTTCCACCCAAAATGATTTGCTTTCCAGTGGCTGAGATTCCTACTTCTAATCATCACCAAAGGTTAACCTGACCAGATTTAATTAACCACTTAATAGAAAAATAAAGTTGCATAAATAAGGGGGGAGGGAGCTCACAGAGGCAACAGTGAATCCAAATAAATCCCTCAGCAAGCACAAACTCTGGGCTGTTATCACCTGATTACACTGATGTAAGAATTCCCAAGTTTTCAGCTCAACTAGGCACAGTTTTACTCTTGTCTATGTGGAACTTGATTAATGGATTGTTTTAATTATTACTAAACAAACAGCAAAAAAAATAAAAACAAGAAACCACATCCCTAAAATTCAATGATGAAGTGAACCCAGTGATATTTCTTAGTACTGTGCTTCAAATTCATAGATGAAGTGGTTTGTACAGAGTATTTGAGGAGTACAGGAAAATAAATCACTATTTCCTCATATATAAATATATATATTGAGATATCAGATAGACATTGTAAATACAGACTTACTATTTTCAGTGAAAAAACCAGTCATGTTCTGGAATATTCCCTAGTAATGAGACAAAAACCTTCTATTACAACAATAAAGTAATTGCAAGTACTAAATGCCATAAATTGGGAATACTGCAAAATATTTTACATTTCAAAGAATATTAGGAAATATTATTGGCCCTGGATCTCTGGAAAATGTGTGCAGCACTTGCTGGTTGTGCTCAGAGTTACCAACTATTTAATATTAAAGAAAATAACTGGGCATCAGCCCTTCCATTTTCTCTCAGTAAAGTTTAAACATCCCTTAAAATAAACAATTCAGGGCAAACCAACAGACCTGCTATTGATTCATTCTGTTCATAAAAAGTAACAACATCGTGGTAAATTCAATCTAGTCAATGAGGATTTTATGAGCCTAAATCTATCAAAAGGGCAATGAAAGCTAATATATAGTGATTAAATAACAATCTGTGAGGAAAAGACACCCAACTTCCAATTCCAGGGCACTGGAATCATCTCCTGATGAAAAATAGGGTTTGAATTGTTTCAGAGGACACTGCAGCCATTTGCCCTTTTTAACAGCCTGGAAGTTCACAAGGCAAGATTAACTTATCATTGAACTGAAGTGGATCTCAAATAAAGTTTTTTGATTAAAATCTCCATTTCTGTGCCTCCTGGCAGCGCCAATATTGCTGGAGCAGGACATCAGCTGCAACACCAGCAACTCCAGAATGCACTGCCATAAACTGTAAATCAGCTTCGTCCTACTTTAATATTGGTTTAACAATAAAAAAAGAACTTGGATGTTTAATATTTAAGTAGCACGATTATCCCTTTAGAACTGATCCAGGAGGACCCTTCATGGGCACAGGGTGTGAAAGCCAGGGAGGGAATGTGGGTTTGCTCCATGAGGAGAGTTGGTTTGTAGGGCCCAGCTGAAAGGTGGGTTTGTGTGTGCTGAGGGGATGTCCCAGGGGCTCTGGAGCAGGGCAGATCTGTCCCACGGTGCCAGGGACAAAACTGAGCAACAAAGCTTGTCCGGTTA